AGTTACCTTTCTGAAAGCCCTAGTGTAGTCTGTACCACCACAGCTACCTTTTGCTAACACAGTGAATATATTTTTCTACTTAATCAGTTATGCAGTTTACCATTTGCTTTGGTTAATATATTTTTTCCATTTTCTGTTAAAAAATGATGAATAGTGCTTTTCTTATTTGCTTGATTAATTTTTAACTTCTGATTTTCATCAGGCTACATTTGGATGGAAATTGGAATCCAATTAATGAACAAAAACAGCATTTAAAATTGTTTTCATTAGCTAAATGTGCTGGATATAGATGAAAATTCCTTAACAAGCCTGTTTTGTGTTTAAAGCATATGATTTTTGTAGAAACAAAGCAAGTATTATCAACTGTTTATGAACAGAATTAATTGTTTCTGGTCACCATGCTCTTCAAGAATCTGCTTCTTAGAACTAAGAAATCTCGGTTTCTGAATGTCTGTTTCTGGAGGGTTTTTTTTTTGTTTTTTTTTTTTTTTTTAATTCTAAGCAACTAAGTTCTCCATCTGAGTGAACATCCTGGTGTTGTCTAACTGTGTGCACCAGCTATGCAAGGCAGAAACTTCTCTCCCCAAAGCCGTATTTCTCAAGTGTATGTAGGCCTCCCGCCCCACCACCCAGATGAGTACGTAGCTTTATACTGTTTGGACCTGTTCAACATTAGGGTGGACTAGTCCTGAGCCCATCCCACAAATGTTGCTAGGGCAGAAGAGGTGGTCTGTGCATCACAGACCTCTGGGACAGTTACTCATGAATTAGGGTGGATGTATGGACTATATATCTTTGAGAACCTAGGTTACTATTTTTAAAAGATTTTTTTTTTTCCACATTTCTGTCAGTTCCCAGGGCTGGTCTAGTCTTGAATAAACTATTTTCTTATGTGGGGGGAAAATAAAGTGAATGGGGAAGAGGAGAAAATTACACAGAATTCTCCATCTACAGGAGATCTTACCGTTGTAAAAAATTAGTTGATGACTAATTCAATGACTTAATGAACTTTACAACTTCAGTAACGAATGCACACTACTTTAACATTTAGACTGAAAAATATTTAAATTTATAACTGTACCATTAAGGCCCTTAAAATTACGAAGTAAAAAAGATGAACTGCAGGATGCTCTCTAGAGTCATTACAGACAGATATTCTCCAAGATATATATACACATATATATTTTAGTTTTTAAATCTTAAGTATATGTTTAAGCAAACTTGGCCTTGTTAAGGGAGTGAACATCGAAGCTCAGATTCCACACAGTGGGAAATTAGTTCCCTAAATTTAGTGCTTCTAACATATGTTTAAGATCTAGGAATCTATTTCTGATATAACTTATGCTAGAAGTTCCTGGAAAGCTCTATGACTTATGTGGCATGGCATGGGGAAGATTAAATTATAGTTGATTTTCTTCCATCCTAAGATCCCCAGAAGCATCTCTAAGATTGATGGGTGGTGTAGTCATTGCATTACATTTTGATGTGTTTCTTTTGGAGGATAGTCTTCCAGTAAATACAAAAGGATTTTAAAATTATTGTGGTTAAGGAGGTGGACAGATAATAAATTGAACTTGGTGTTATGATATTCCCCTAAAAGCCTTAGCTAGACTTGATTTCTGCCAGAAGAAAAAAGAAAGAGCTGTTGTTTTTGATGTTCATGCTTTAAAACAAATCAAACAGTATGTTTTTTTGAGTGGTTAAAAATCAGTGTAGGTAAGGAAATGGACATAATTTCTCTAAACCCTGTGTGATGTTATACTGGAGATGAATTTGGTTATACATATGTGCCAATGTGCTTCTGCAGACAAGAATTTGAAAAATGACAATGTATAAACAGTTCAGTATCGACAGATTCTCCATTGTTCCTTAATAAACATATATCACTATTACACCAAAATGGAAGTTTAATGTTAAAGAACCTCACTCACTCACACAAAAATACTAAAAAAAAGTCCTTTAGGAAAAAAGAAGTTGAAATGTATCAACAACTCAAAATTATGAGGGATGGGGGGAGAGTGCCACAGTGAGCTGACTGTACAGTTGGAAAGACACATGTACATCTTCTGTCTTTCATTGCCTTTGCTGCCCATGTTTCATGTTTAAGGGTGAGGCAGCAGAAAGGAATTTCAGTGGTGAATTGAATCTAGCCAAGAAAGTGTCTTGAAATCAAGCTTTGGGAAGAAGAGGGGAAAACTGTGCTGCAGGCAGATGGGCAACAGAGGGAAAGCAGGAAATATCTACAGACAAAAGTAATGAAGTTTGATTTGTTTCTATGGTAGAGAAATGTGTCTGGAGGTGGGTTTAGGTAGAAACTGTGTAAATTCTTGAAAACCAAGTTACATGTTTGATTCGTAGCAGCGTTGTATGAATTAGCTGGAAAGTTTGTATGCATTAGCTCAAAGTTTAGCTGGAAGAAGGTGGCTGGAGTTGCACGTGGGAGGGAAGACTTTGGCAGCGGACTTTTGCAGGAGCTGGAGCATGTGTGGGCAATTGAAGGTAGGGGTCAAAGAGATGAGTGAGCAAGGGGTGGCTAAGCTGTCTGCACCTGGATTGGAAAGAGAGGTTGCCTCTATACCCAGTGCAGTTAGTATGGGTCCTTGGAACAAAACCAGAAAAAAACAAATGCCTCGTGAATTTGTATCCATTTTTTCCGAAGTGGTAAGATCAACCAAGTACGTACAGTAGCATTTCCAAATTACTGGAAATCTTGCTGGATTCCCAATGAACATGTAAAAGGACTTACTATGAGTACACTCACAGGATGTTTGTAATAATAGGAGGAGAAAATGAGTAATCTTCTGGAAAGTGGTTTAACATATATACTAAAGTGACTGGTATCTTTCATCACAAATATGTAGTTTCAGGGCGTAGTTTTGAGATCATTTTAAACTGATCTGTAGGCAGATTAAAAGGGGTGTTCCCACCTTTTCCCATGCCCTGACCTAATTGTTGTTGCTTCCTCCCTTGTTCCAGGACTGCCGCTTGTGTGGCTCTCTGGTTATTTGGATCAGGGACCCACTGCCTGCCTTAAAAATCAGCTGGATCTGCAGTCCTGCTGGCCGCAAAACACACAGGGCAGTGGGGAGGCTGGGTGTGGAGGGCTGCAACCTGTGCCCAGAGAAAACGTGGGCTTAAACCAGCATAAACTGACTGTGAATCCTGATACCTTGTACGTGTGAAAACACAGGGTAAATTGTGCAACTGTTGTGATCACCTAAAGTGACTGGCAGAATGTGTTTCTATTCTCAATATCCTATTTTGGGGTTTCTTCACCTGGTAAATGGAGCTGTGCCTGGAATTTATTTCCCCTGAGGTTACGGTTGACTTGTGTTTACCAAAAATAAAGTGGTAAAACTTGGAAACAAGCATTTTGTTCTGATTTGTTTATGGTTAATGCACTGAGACTTTGTTTCCCCTTGAAAGATGTTACTGGAATTTAAAAATAAGTGGAGATAGCTTTTTTTAGGATTGCAGCTGCTTTTTGCTTTGTGTTGCATATAGAATATCTTTTTCTGAAAGTATCCCAGAAAAAAGCTGTTTCGGTGAGCTTCTGTATGTGGGTCTGTATCCCTACCAAAATATACAAGTGAGCAAAACTAAACGAGCACAGTTGGTCCCACGTGCTCTGCCCGCTGGTGCTCGGGCTGGTCTGCATGGTGGGCACCAAGAAAGCGAGGATGAGGATGGCTGCGTAGTCTTCAAATACCTCTCCAGGAAAAGGGCTTGTTGGTTTTGTCTTGTTGAAGATGAGCAAAACAAATTTTGAAAATGCGTAAGAGGGCTACATAGAGGAAGAAATGCATTAAAAGGGGAGGGGGGGGGGGGGG